ACTGTAACAAAATAGGTTGTAGCATAATTTAAACTTTTTAAATATTTAACCGTATTATTTGTAGTACCTTCAAAAACCAAGAAACAAAAAAATTCACTTTTATTAAAGTTTTATCAAAGGTTTTCGATATTATTTTTACATTTGTTTTAATCGGTTAATAGCCAACGACAATTTTTATAACTTGTAAGTAACAGCCTATTTTGATACGTGTGCAAATTGATCGCTGATTTGGTGTACACTTTGCAAGAAAGAATCGAAATTGTAGGTTTATACTACAAAATAATAATTGTGCAAGAGCTGCTGCTAGAATTTTTAATGAAACACACCACAATAGACATGCGACTCATAAGTATGTGATTGAAATGATGCAGCAATTTAGATAAAGAGGGTCAGTTTGCAATAAAAACATAAACGACAGTGACTTGTAAATAACGAAACAATCCAAGTATCTGTTTTAGGGCAAGTTAACTTAGAGGCTTAACAATCACAGTCACTGTCAACAATAAGCAGAGCAATCGGTATTTCATCTTCTATGGCCTTCCGAGTCCTCCATAAATTTAAGTTTCATCTATATAAAATTAAATTAGTACAAGAGTTAAATGAAGAAGATTTTGATCGTCGTCCCAAATTTTGCGAATTAATGATACAATGCATCATTAACAATTCACAATTGTTAAACAACATTTGTTTCTCGGATGAATGCTCATTTTCATTAAACGATTTGGTGAACAGATATAATTGCCGATACTGGGCTGAGAGTAATCCACATATTGTACGCGAATTTCACACACAGCATCCTCAAAGGTTAAACGTATGGTGTGGTATCCTACGTGATCACATTATCGGACCTTCTGTATCACTGGAAACTTAAATGGTGCATCGTATCTTGAATTCTTTAGGCAAGTGGTTCATCGTATTAGAACAATAGTAGAAAATGATGATAATATTTCCGACGTTTTATTTGTATTTCAACGTGATGGAGCTTCTCCACACTTTGCTTTACATGTGCAATAATTTTTAAACGAAACGTTTCTCGGTTCTTGGCTAGGTAAAAGACGACAGATGATGGATTGACCACCTAGGTCACCGGATTGAACATCCCTAGACTTCTTCTTATGGGGGTATTTAAAAACAAACGTTTATGCTACTCAACCAGAATCTCTAGATGATTTACGACAAAGAATAGAGGATGAATGTCGACAATTAAATGCAGACGTGTTAAGCAATGTCAGAGAAGAATTTCAAAATAGATTGTACTATTGTATGGAAGTAAAGGCAGTTATTTTGAACAATTATTTTAAACATTTTTAATAGTGAAATGTTCCTTCTAAATGTGTGTAATAAAATTGTTAAAAAATATTTTTTTTTAATTCAATTTTCTTGCTTTTGTATTTATTTTTCTCATGAACTAATCACTTCAAGCATCATGTTTTATATAGTCCGTCTAGAAGGTATCCGGAATTTTATATTTTTTCTAATTTTAATAGATTTCCTTTTTGTAACATTTTAAGCACATAAGTAATGCATCAAGTAGGTTGTGCCGATAGTAGGTTATGGACAAAATCGCATGACAACACCATCAGTAAAATATTGTTGTTTGTAAACAGACTTAAGATTTGTGAAATAATGTCGCAAGTAGAAAAAAGAAAAGTGGTCGAATATTGGTATAGAAAGGGTGTCCGAAACGTTAAAAAATTAGTGCAATTGACTAAACTCGGAAAAAGTGCAGTGTATGAGACAATAAAGAGGATAAAAAATGGCATAGATATGAGATATAGACCAGTTTCGGTAGACGCGTAGATGCGAAACAATTTTAATGCTTTAGTGGCTTTAGGACGAGAAAATCTGCGCCTAGGGTTTCGAAAATTAGCGAACAGATTTGGAAATCAACGAAGAATTAAAGTGTGCCCAGACACTGTCCGCATGTCATTGAAAAAGCAAGGCTACATATCAAGGATTCAAAAAAAATCCCTACAATGACACCTCTGCAAAGGCAACGAAGAATAGATGTTTGTCAACGTTTTCGAGAAGATAATTTTAATACTGTCTTTATATCTGATGAAAGTTATTTCCAGCTTGGTGCAAATCATCTAAAAGTCCTATCAAGAGAAAATGTTGCCGTTCAAATTTCCAAATTTCCCACTAAAATAATGGTTTGGGGAACAATATCTCAGCGTGGTGCTACACCTATCTGTATAGTTAATGGTACTGTTTATAGTGCGAAATATTGTAACATCCTAAATGATTTTCTTCTTGAAACGGCTCATGTTTTATATCCAGAGGGGTGGCGTTTTCAGCAGGATAATGCAAGATGCCATACTTCTGCTTATACTCAAGCTTGGATACACGAACACGAATTGGCAACAATTCCGTGGCCAGCAGCATGTCCAGATCTTAGCTCCATTGAAAACATATGGGGACTGATGAAGATTAAAGTGGAACGAGCAGCGCCATGAGATAAAGAAGCCTGGAGCACCTAGTTTCGAGTGTACCTGGACGTTTAGTTAAGTGTTTAGATTTAAATGAAGGTTGAATAAATAAATGAGATGAATTATTTGTTGAAATTTTATATTTCAAGTGATAGAAATAAATACCGTAAAATTATAATTCTGCTTTCTTTTTTCCGGATACTTTCTAGATGGACTATACATTTCTGAAATCAGTACAAAGGGGAGAATCCAAATATCAAATAAAAAGGGGGAACTAATTATAAAAAAAAATAAAGAGATGTTACGGGAGGTGAAAGAGTGCATTTTCCAGCAACCTTAAATATGATATAATGTCTCCCTCTTCAAATATTAATTGACGTGTTTTTTGCGTTTTTCCTAAAAATCAGAAGTTTAAAAGTTATTTAAGGTGGATAGTTTATATTTGAAAAGCACTGTATACAAATTTATCTTAACCTTCATAGAGAGTAGTTTGACCAATAAAAAATTAAATTTAATATATTTGTTTTTACTGGTCTGTCTCAAAACTTAAATAAAAATCTATGGTATTTCACTAATATATTAATAACTACAATCTGAGTGATGAGAACAGTCTGATTTAAAACTTTAATAAATTTTTATCTTTACAAGGTTTTTACTTACGGTCCAATTTAGATATTTTTTTAATATGTAGACGTTAATCCCAAATTATTTCGCTTCTTTTAGATTCAATTTCTTTTTTTCATGTCTTCGATACAATTTGCATATCTCTAAATAGCAGTACATAAAAAAATAAACATTTCTGGAATAATTTTTAGTCGTGTTAGGGGCGTTAGTGGTTGAAGATTTGGCATTTTTAATCTTCTACATCTTTTTTAAAACTTCTTTATCGTGACTTCGTCATTTTTTTTTATTTTTTAAATCTTCGTGTTTTTTTCTTTGTTTTTCTGATAGTGTCCCTTTTTTTACATTTAATAATCGCTGATACAATTATACAATGCCGATTTATGGTTAAATAAATTTCCATTTTTTACGCAGATCCTTTGTGATTGCCCGAAGAATAAGTTTTGTCATAACCGTACTACATGGAAACCTTAATCTTGTTTAGCTCTGATTTTTTTACTACATATGATGATTTATACCTCCAATTTAATAACTTTTACTGTTCATTTTCCAATTATTGAAAAAATGCCCACCAACGACGTAAAATCGCTCTTCATCCATGGGCCATCTTCGGATACCGTCAAATGATTAGCTTCATTGCCATTTTTCTCGTTTAATTCCATTTTATCCTTTACTGATTTTTGAGTTATAAACTCAAAGCATTGTTTTGAAGTTTCATGCATTTTGAAAATTGCAGAATAATAAAGAATAACTGTAATAGTTGATGATGTATCCATTAATTCAAGAATGTTTTTAGGCCATTATACTCTAAATCAAGAGCTCTCGTGATGTGTATTAGTCTTCTATTTATTTCGTATAAAGTTTCAGTTATTTAAGGTGAAGGTAAATAAATTTCCTCCCACAACACTCGACATACATTTTGAAATTTTGTTGTATAAATAAAATTTCTTCTTTGTACTTTATATATTAGAAAGAGTCAGAAACAAAAAATTAAGGCATAATATTACATAATTTATATGGCTTGATTAGAGCACAATATTGCCTAATTTATTTTTTTGCCGAGGAACTGGGCAATTTAGAATTGTTATCTGTGGAAAATTGGTTTGAATTTTGTTTAATGCCTTGTAAATGACTACCAGATCCAAGCATTTTTTCTGATTTTTAAAACAATAATTCTCGATGAAATTTAATATTGAAGACGTAGTCTTGTTATAAATTTTAGGAAACAACTGTCCAGTTGCATTTGTGCAGGTAAATCGTCGCGCGTCGTCTTCGGCTACCAAAAAAAAATTAAAAACACTAGTAAAAACCGGCGCAAGCCACCAAAAAAATTAATAAAACCTAAAAATCTGGGCACGTAGGGCCCAAACTCTTGAGCAAGAAGTCGAACTGGGCACAGCCCAGGGCTGAGGCTCGAGATAAGTTTAGATTCGCTGACAAGTCACAAGAGGATAACGTAAATAAAGCATTTAAAGCTAACCTGAATTTCAATCGTTTTTGTTTTAATTTATAAAGTAAAAGTTCCCATAACTCTACATGTGTGTATGTGTATTCTATACTTGTGCGCGTGTTTGTGTGTCATGTTTTATGAACCAATCTTATTGTGTTATATGCCCATAAAATGGGAAAAAGAACTTACCCGACCAGTCTGTCTGCGCCATGTCAAACAGAGCAGACTCTTAGTTTGAGTCTGGCATGTAACCTATGTGAGAGAAACAAATTTTTTTTTGTATAATGTAAATAAATTAAAAAATTTGAAGAATATAAATTATCTTGAGATTATTTACCTTCACTTTTCCCAAAAATTATTAAAATTGGACCATAAATAAAAAGCTAGTTAAGATCAAAATTTTTTAACATTTTAAAATGGCTGGTGTTAGCACCTGAGTGCTGTATAACCTAAACAACAATGTGATGTAAATAGGTACTAATAGTTATTTAATATTACAGAGGAATCTACAAATATTTGGATCTGGCCTAAAGAAGAGACAATCAAGGGGAAGCTTTGGTGGATATTTACCTGGCCTTTATCATTTCTTCTCTTTTTGACTATACCAGACTGTAGAAAGTATCCTAGATTGTACGTGATTACCTTTATTATGTGCATTATTTGGATTGGGATCACCTCTTACGTAATTTCGTGGCTAATAACTATTATTGGTAAGTACTGATCTCAAGTTGTAATCAACCATTGTGAAAAATAATTATAGTTGGGTTATATAATATAAAAGTAAATAACTGTTATCAGTGGTTTACTCAGTAATCAGTAGATTTTAGTGAAGAAAATTAAAAAAAAAGTTAAACTATATTTCACTAATTAAATTTATATAATAGTAAAATTCTGAAAACTTTTGTTTGGAAACTTCCACGAAATTTGTAACAAAAATATTTTGCCCACCACATGGGGTATTAATATAAGGCGTAGAAAATTGGGGACAGAAACTACTGGGGTGAAGATCTTCTTCTTCTTCTTCAGCCTTCATTTATCCAATGTTGGACATAGGCCTCCTCCAATTGCTTCCACGCTTCCCTATCTTTTGCAATTCTCATCCACTGCTTTCCAGCTACAGCAGTTATATCGTCTATCCATCTCTTTTTAGGTCTTCCCACGCTTCTTTTTGTTTCTCGAGGTCTCCAAAATGTCACTTTATGAGACCATCTGTTGGTGTCTTGTCTTGCTACATGTGCTACCCATTGCCATCTCAATGTCGCTATTTTTTCCATGATGTCGGTTACTTTAGTTCTTCGACGTATTTCGGTGTTAGGAATTTTGTCTCTGAGGCTTATATTTAACATGGCCCTCTCCATGGCCCGTTGAGTTACTCTTAATTGTTCTGCCATTTTTCTTGTTATTGCCATAGTTTCCAATCCATAAGTTGCAACTGGTAGTATACAAGTGTCATAGGTTTTTCGTTTTAAGTGAATTGGGATTTTTCTGTCTTTTAAAATGAATCTCAACTTACCAAAAGCAGCCCATGATAATTGTGTCCTTCTTTTAATTTCTAGGGTTTGATTTTCCGTTTCGTTTTTAATTGCATGTCCTATATATATATATATATATATATATATATATATATATATATATATATATATATATATATATTGTTCTACCTTTTCTATATTGATGTTATCTATCGTGATGTTTTCTAGGCTGTTGCTTAATATCTTTGTTTTGTCGAGATTCATTTTTAATCCTATTTGATTCGATTTGTGATTTAAATCTTGTAGCATTGATTTTAGTTCATGGATATCTGTGCTTATTAGTACTATGTCGTCTGCAAAACGCAAATGGTTAAGATATTCTCCATCTATTTTTAATCCATTTTCGGCCCAATTTAGTTGTTTGAAAACATTTTCTAATGCCAAAGTAAATAATTTGGGTGAGATGGTGTCGCCCTGTCTCACACCTTTGCCAAGGTCTATTTTCATAGTTTCCAGATTATCATCTATTTTTACGTGAAAAGTAGCATCATCGTATATATTCTTAAGGAGGGCAGCATATCTTGAATCTACTCTGGCGTCGTCCAATGCTGTTAAGAAAGCCCATTTCTCGATACTGTCGAATGCTTTGTGATAATCGACAAATGCCAGATGTAGTGGTATGTTGTACTCTATTGTTTTTTCAATAATGTCCGAATTGTTTGCAAGTGATCGATAGTGCTAAAACCCTTACGAAAGCCTGCTTGCTCCACTGGTTGGTATGCATCTAGTTTAGCTGTCAATCTATTTGTTATTATTGGGTTAGTAGTTTGTAAAGGTGTGACAATAAGCTTATTGGTCGGTAGTTTTCTATATTTGCGGCGTCCCCTTTTTTATGGAGTAGAATGACTTCCGCATTTTTCCATGTCTTCGGTATTTGTCCTTCCAATAGGCATTTATTAAGTAATGCTCTTATTGCCTCTTCTAATGCAGTGCCTCCCATTTTTAGCATCTCTGAAGTAATTTTATCTTCTCCTGGTGTTTTCCCATTTTCATTTGTTTAGGCGCTCTATTTCTGATGTTATTTCAGGAGTCCTCTGAGCCCACATTTAAGATATGTTTTGTTGGTATACCGGGGTTCGAATAGTAGAAGTATACAGCTTCTCATAAAATTTTCGGATTTCTCTAACGATCTCTTCCTTATGCGAGCACAATGTTCCACGGTCGTCTTTTATCTTTATGATTTTATTCCTGCCAGTGGATTTACATGTTTTTAGTACTTTCATGTTCTTATTGTTTTCTATGGTTTCAAGAATCTGGTTTGTTCTATAAACTCTGAGGTCTTTTCGAATATTTTTCTTAACGCTTCTGTTGAGCGCTTTATAGTCCGGGTTATCTCTGTTCGTTCTTCTTCTTTTCTCTATCTGTTCTAGAGTTTCGGGTTTTAGTTTAGCTTCCTTTTGTTTTCTTATTCTGCAACAAAGTTTCTTAGTGACTGTTTGTATGTCTTTAGTTATTTTCTCAGCTAGTTCATCTATATTCTTGTGCTCAAAGGTATTTGCTACTAGTTTTCGTGCTAATTCCTCTTGGTATTTCTCTTTATTACTGGCTAGGATGTCTGCCGTCGGTAAAGGGTTTGTTGTTAATAGTTTTCGTCTTTCTCTCTTTACGTTAATACGTATATCAGCACGAACTAGTCTATGGTCACTGCCGGTGTTAAATTTGTTCAATACCTCGATGTTTTTACATATTGATCTATCACTGGAAAGGATAAAATCTATTTCATTCTTAACCTGACCGTCAGGGCTACGCCATGTCCACTTTCTTTGTATTTGTTTTTTATAGAACGTGTTCAGGCAAAACATTTTTTCGGTGCTTACGTAATTTGCTAATGTCTCTCCTCTGGTGTTTCTGTTGCCTAGACCGAAATTTCCTATGTAGTCTGAGTCACCTGGTATTCGCCGCCCTATTTTTGCATTAAAATCTCCGGTGATGATAACATAGTGTGTTTTTTCTAGGTCTTTAGCTCGCGTTATATCTTCGTAGAGTTGTGCAATTGACTCGTCATCTGCAGTGGAAGTTGGAGTATAGCAGTGTATTATCTGTAAGCTATATCGTTTATTCAGTTGTATTACAAGATATATCACTCTTTCCGACACTTCTGAATATTTCACAATCTGGTGTTCTATTCTTCGGTTGACCATGAAAGCCACTCCTCCTTGGCCGTGGTTCTCCTCTGAATTATATTGGTAAAGAGTGTGTCCAGATGTTAGGGTGGTCTTTTTCTCTCCTTAAAGTCTCGTTTCACATAAGCTTACAATTACCATTTAATAGCCCTTAGTTCCTGTTCTAGTTCCTCTAGATGATCGTTCGTGGAGGTGGTTCGTGGGGTGGAGATAGGGCAAGCCAAATAATCGAAACATATGCGAACTGCACTCAGGGTTTGTTAGGAGAGCTCGGGTCGTGGATAAGTAAATGGCATGGGTGTTGGATTGGGACAACTACAAAAAAATGAAACAAAGGGTCATTAATCTCTTGGGAAATAAAATAAAAAGAAACAGGAAACACCTCTAGTAATTTAAGATAGGACGCCACTACGGGGTGCCTAATTTTAACCATTACAATAGCTAGTTGTAACTAGAGAAATAATTATTAAAAATAAAAAACATATCTTTTTTAAACAAAACTCAAAAAGGGTTAGTAAAAAAAGAATAAACAAAATGTTAAGAAAAAAAATTTAACATTTATTGTTTCTTACCACAAACAGTTACACAAAATAGACAATATAAAACACTATATTAATAGTCACAAATTACAAAAATACAGAGAAAACTTACATGTGTCATATCTGTTTACAATGGGGAATTGCTACAAAATCTTTCAAAATTGTTGTTACTGCAATAGAGGTTAACCTTTTTTTTAAACAAAACAAATGAATATCAAAAATAATAAAACGAGCTGTCATAAGTTAACATTAAATTAAAAAAAAACTGAACAAATTAATCGACAGCTAAAGTCAAACTCTAAAATTCACAATTTTTTAATTATTACAATCTTTAAATTTTAATGAAAGCAATTATTGTTAAAAAAATTATCTATTGTTATCTTTTTATACACAAAAGTTACCTTAAACTTCACTTTATTTTTCACTCTGCATAACGCCTGGGGTCGGGAACTGGAACTATTTAAATTTCTGTGGGTAGTACTGGATGGGAAATCTCCGAACACGAACAAAAAAACTTCTTCAATGATCTGGAACGTTGATCAGCCGGGGACAAACATAGGTAAGGAATAAATAAATCAGCTGCACATTTTTACACAACTGGAACAACTGAACGTAACGTAACACGTACTGCACAATTAACTGCAAAACTACTAATCTTCCATAACGTATGACGAAAAACAAAGAAACATTTCAAATTAGACAAAAAATTTGGATTCAAACCTATCCGACTGTTTTCTACAGCGACTCAAGTGAGAATGACGAAATTATCTTAAAAATTCGTTCACATAACTTGAAATAAACAAAACACAACGTAAATTAAGACGTAAATTATTAATTTGAAAACGCAGTACATCGGGCGGCTTAAATCATCAAAGAATTATCGACATGAAAATACGCAGCTGCGAAATAAATAAACAACTCTAAAATGGTTTCAAAGATACGAACTAATAAACATGGAAAAATTCTCGTTTTTGTCAAACATATATGGGGGATTTCAATATATTACACATACGAGGGGATTTCAATATACACCAAAGAATTAATGAAATTGCAAATGCTACAAATTTATTATAATTTTTTATTAATACAGATGTTTCGGCAGAGCGTCTTTTTTAAGTGATTTATTTTTAGTACGCGTTTACACTTTGTAGTCAACTATAATAAGTTAGGGAGGGAAAAAATGTTTGTCTTAATTTGGTCATTTAGAATTTTTTAATTTCCATAGATTCTAATAAAGATAGCTAGATCAAAATATTCAATGTGTAAAATAACTAATTTATTGAATGACATTGAAGTGATTTATATTCTACAAATTTTCTTTGATTTATTAAAAAAACCTATACGTTTTGTATAAAATTTCGGCTTTGTTTTTTTTTATATTTAACAATTTAGTGCGAAAAATGCGGTTTTAATTAAAATATTTATCTGTGGCGACTTGCCCCATAGCGCGAGTTAAGCGCTGCTTGACCACCTTAAACTCACCGGAACGAAATTTTTTTATAATTTTATTTTTAGTGGAGCCTTTTAGAGTACCTTATTTTAATCTTTACTTATCTATAATTTAAAATCTTTTATAAGTAAAGGGCGTAGAGGCAGTCTGCAATATAGCACACAATACCAAAATCAGAATCAAAAACAAACAATCGATAAGAATTCTTCGGGTCGCCTCAGCGCGTCACCAAAACGTCACATCTCTAAGCTCAGCAATATCGTACCTCAAAGCATTTTAAAGAATTAAATATCTATTATTTTAAAAAGTAAAATACAGTTAAGATTTAATTTCACGTATCGTCGTCAATGTAGCCGCTTATACGTATTTCGGCCTAATAGGCTTCGTCAGAACGGCAATTCAATGTCTGAACGTGAAAATAAATCTCTTTTGTCTTAGTAAGCAGCTCTAACATGGCTTTGAATGGACGCAAATAGCGACATCTAATATCAAAATCCATAAACTAATTTTCGAAACCAAATTTATTATTTTTTATTAATTGGACTATTTATTCTTTTAGGTAATACTTTATCAATACCTGATTCAGTAATGGGGCTGACATTTTTAGCCGCCGGAACTAGTGTACCTGAAGCTGTTTCTAGTGTTATAGTAACTAAACAAGGTAAGACTCAAAGCAATATGAAAAGACCATTATCTAATAGTAAACAATAAAACACTAAAACAATTAAAAAACAAAATAATTTACTAATTGGTAAAGGTGTCTTTCTTAATAAATCTAGTAGCTCAAATGATAGTATTAGACTATTATGTGAAAGGTTAGAGTTCGACTCAAGCCATAAACAAAATAGTTTTTAAAAATTTTCATAGGCCACAAATTGAATGAGGCTGAATAAAATAAATTTGGAAAAGTAGTATCATTAGTAGTAGTAGTATCTTTCTTGCTACTCTATGTCTAAAAAAAGCAAAGTAGAATTATTCTAAACCACTCTTATGTATTTAAATTGCATAACTAATAACTGATAATAATTAAACTGATAACATCTTTAAGGATAATAATATTAAAAATTCGTAATAATTCAGAAACAACAACGGATTGATATAGGGGAATGACCTGATTTGCCTCTATCTTAATTTAAAGCTTGAAGAAAGCAGAATAAAGCTTATGGCTAACATTGATAACTATAATTTAAAAAGTTGGTGTAATAGTTTCCCTACTTGGAAAACATAGTTAACATCACGAAAATGATATCGGATAAGATAAATCAAAGAATAATGCTTGCAAACAGAAGTTATTATGGATTTAATAAACACCGTAGAAGCCATTACCCAACAAGATATTGAAAAAAAAAATTAATATTCCCAGTCCTAATGTATGGATCTGAAACATGGGTGCATTCTAATACAGATGAAAATACACGATTAATCATCTTCTTCTTAGACTTCTGTCGTCCATGTTTGGACATAGGCCTCTCCCAACTCCTTCCATCGGTCTCTATCCTGAGCAACATATTTCCAATTTGTTCCGGCTATTCTTTTAATGTCATCAACCCATCTCATCTGTGGTCTTCTCTTGGTCGTTTACTTTCGTAAGGTCTCTAATGTTGTATTGTTGTGTAATAAATAAAATATTAGGACCAATATTTATTAATACAATTTTATCATCGACATATGTCCTAGACGCACATCTGCTGATTCCCAACTTCCAATTTCGATTTAGAGCTGAACACTCTACAAAAAATGCATTGATTGAAGCAGCAACCTTTATATTACGAGTCCTTAATAAAACAAATTGATATACCATAGACATCTTTCTCAATGTCCAGAAGGCCTTTGATAAGTTTTAGCACACAGTCCAGATCGAAAAGCTCCATCCTACTAGACTACCTATCCCCTTCGTAAAAATAATCTATTCCTTTCTCTCCAATCGGGCAATTTGTGTCGAATTAGTAACACGCTATTAACACCATTCACTTCACAAGCTGGAGTACCCCAGGGATTAATTTTATCACTATATTTATACATAGTCTGGAACAATGACATCCTTTACCCATTGACTAGATTACTGGGACGCCGAGACATATGAGAGATACAATGAGATGCTGAGACATGCGTCAGTTTTTGTTAAAGCACAGTACCAATTAAACAAAATTGTTAGGTGGTGCAACATAAAGAGAGTCACATTCAGTTTCTCCAAAACTCAATTAATTTTGTTCAAATCACCTCATAGAAGCGATGCTGGGAGGTACCGGATAACTCTACAATGAGAAATCTTGATTACAGAAACTCGGTATCCTACTTTGGAGTTCCTTTTAGCAGTTCTCTCAACTGGGACATTAACATCAAAGACACCCTGGACGGGATAAGAAAAAGACTCCTAGGCAGTAGGATTTACTCGTCACTAAATCATCGCGAAAGCATTGTAGTGTCATCAGGTGCCACCAATCACGCATCTCGATGTTCATCGTCCTTCCTTCTGGAGTTTTATTCAAATTTTAATTGGTTAAAAATGGAAAAGGTTTCATATAAAAGTTAATTTTACTTTAAATATGGGACATTTTCGGATTTACGGTCAGTGCGGTTTTACCCTTAGAGGGTAGTCCCAGGGCTCTTCACTTTGAAGAGATGAGCATTCACTTTGAAGGGCTCTGAAAAGTTCTAAAGACTCTGACGCTGAGTTTTTTTCTACTTAGAAATTGTGTGTTTTATTTCTAAAGTACCTACAACCTACCAGCATTATCTTTTTCAAGACAATGCCCAAATTAGAGCGTTCCGGCTAACTACGCAATATTGCACAACATTGCGCAATAGTTAGAGATATTAGTAAACATGGTTATAGCACCGAGATGCATTTTAATTTCCTACGTTTATTAATAATCGCCCGGAGACGACAGTAGCAACAGAAAGAAAAATTCTCATAAAATGTATGAGGAAACGTGCAGATTATCGGTCAGCATCAATATACCAAACTGCAAATATAACATCAATAAAGGACAGATAACACAGATTCCGATCTCTTAGCAACAGATACGTCCTCCGCCAAATAGTTGGCTCCCACAACAAGCCCAAGCAAACTCCAAGGACTTCTTGCCATCGCTGAGGTCACATTCTTCCATTTAGCCAAGCTTCTACACCTTACTGACAACGAAATTCCTGATGAGTACTACGATATTTTCGAAGCAACTCCTCTCAAATATCATAGATAGTTGCACGCCAAAAAACATGGCTGGTAACACCGAAGGTACCTTCTGCTCATAGTTTGGTTGGCTAGTCTGAATTATTTCTCATAGTGCTTCTTTTCTACATCACTACCATCTCAGTCCCCTTGACAAAAAGGCAGGAGCCCTTCCTTGAAGAAACGTAAGCTTGCACAAGGTTCTAACGCTCACATTCGATTCGATTCGTCAATATAGTTGCGAGATTTACAAATAATTAAACCAAAATAGCCTAAATTAAAGATTATAATCTTAATATTATATAATTATAATCTTTAGTTTTACAATATTTTACCATTTTTATTAAATTAAGATTGTACTGTATTAAAAAATTGGTTAAAACTAAGTCAAAATGTTCTTTTTTCAATTTATCTATATACCTATTATAATACTCATCATATATATATTTTGGCAAGTGACAACTAATGTCAATAAATTAATCCAATGATCTCTTTACCTAATTCAAATAAAACATATTTTAACTATTTTTACAACCTTTAATTTTCACAAAAAATAATTGTAATCTTTCAAATGTAAAAGGCTAGAGTTTTTGATGGTAGCCAGAGTTTTTGTATGATAATGTCTTACAATCCGATAGCTCTGTCAACTCATTTCAAAGCTATAAGGACATATATTTTTCAGGACATGCAACGATGGGATTAAGCAGTTCAATCGGATCTAACACTTTTGACATATTGTTATGTTTGGGAATACCTTGGTTGATAAAAGCTGCATTTTATCCCAAAATACCTGGCGCACACTGGGTAGAAATTCATTCTGATGGTATTAATATTTGTACAGGGGCACTATTGTCTTCACTCGTCTTGTTCTATGCATCTCTCGCTTTTAACAAGTTCAGGTAAGTCTTTTTTTTCTAATGTAGTACTCAAGTACATTGTGGAAATTCATTAGTTAGCTCAATTAGGATTATAATAAATTTAGTATTATTTACCAAAATACTAAACTTTAAACGCACATTGTAGTTTGTCTCTTTATATGTATAAAAAGAGACAAATTAGTTTATAGTAATACTAGTCACTATCGGTACTAATCTTACACCAACACAAAAATATTAAACGTGTAACTACATACCGCGCTTAGCGATTTAATGTGTCCTCGCTGTACTGAGGACTGATATTGCTACTACCCAAATTTTAATTTACTACGAAAAACTATTTAAGTAAAAAAGCAGTCACTTATAAAACGATTAAAACTAATTCATTTTCCAAACAAATTTCCAAACAATTTTCAAACAATTTTCAAACAATTTGTATTTTCTCTGTTTTTCTCTTTGTTGTTTTTCACAGGTCATGCAAAATGATGCAGTTTATTTGTCTTTCTTTTCTCCCATATATATATATATATATATATATATATATATATATATATATATATATATATATATATATATGCGTACCTCGGAGGTAAAGGACACTATGTCCATTTTTATCGAAATTTAGATTATTGCACTTTTGAATCTAACTTTTCTGGCTCTACACATAGGTAAACCATACTAGGTGCAGAGACAATTTTACGACAAGTTACCGACTTTTTAATAAACACCAAGTCCACTTCCAGTCAGAGGTAAACAACACCATGTGGACTTGGTGTTGTTTACCTCTAGTAAATGTGTGCATTGTCATTTACCATCCGGACATAGTGTTATGTACCCTTGTACCTGAGGGAATTGTCATGAACCAAAATCATTGCAACCTTTTTATTTAGATCGCAATTGTATTAGGTTGATAAAAGTTGTACAATAAGTTCGTTGTTTAATAACTGTAAAATGGATCCGAACTCTCGTGGAAAAATAATATTACAATTACTGTCATGTAATATTCCAAATAAAACAACACTTACAGGTAAGCTATTGTTTTTTAACACTGATTTTGTATTTTTCTAACCTCAAATATTTAGTATTGTATATTATTTTGTATAGGGCTCAGAATTTCAAACAATACGTACATTTTTTCTACCTACCGTTAAAATAGAAGTATCAGCTAGTATGTTCTTGTTACTAGTAAAGAATTTCGTCTGTTTTTTTAAATGACCATAATATGGTATGATTGTTGTCAGTTATTTATGTAACATGCATTGCCATTTATGTTATTGTGTTGTAGGCATAGACAGGAATTTACTAAGCAATTATCAATATAATATACTCGTATGAACAAAATACTACAAGAGATTGGGTAACATTTATTTACTGTTAGGCGTAACCGGTACCCCAAAAATTATTGTTGTTGATACCAACAGATTAGGGTAAACAGATGTTGCCAGATCTATATTTTTTTAATGGAAGTAACGGAAATTGCTCAGTAAATTCCGGTCTTTGGTTATAAGGATTATTTTTATGTTGGCCAATTATAGGCCTATAAAATAAGTCTATAATTATTATTACAAAACTGGATTTGTTTCAGAACCACCTGGTCACTACAGTAACTTCCAAGGTAATGGTAAGAAAGTGGACGAAGATGATAATTTGTTTGGAGATAATTCGGATATTGATATAACCTACGAGCCTCTAAGCTCAGAATCAGACGACAATGATATGAGACGTATAAGTAAACCAGCGAACACAAAGGTAAAAGAGAAAGCTATTATTACTCCTACGACTAGTGTGGAAATAACAAAAAATCTTCTTAAGGACGATTTATTCCTAAACAGTGATGCAGGCAATTCCAATGAACATAATGAAGTTATTTTAGAAGAAGAGAAAAGTGTTAAAAGAAAAGTACAAAATGTAACTAAGTTGAAACAAAAAGGCAAAAAACGTGTAGTAAATAAACAAAATTGGGTCTGTAATGTTCGCAAATCAAAAATAGCTGGTGGGAAAGAGTATCTCATTAAAAAAAGGCAAAAACATGCCTGCAAAAATGTTAAAGCTTCCTTGCATGTGTCGCATGAAATGCTCTAAAAAATTGCCAGAATACGAAAGACAAAAAATTTTCAACTCATACTGGACTGAGACAAAGGTTTCAGATGTTAAAAAGCAATTTATCTTCTCAGGTTTCGACATCCAACCTACTCTTTGATTAACAAAAAAAGACCTAAATTTTACCAAATCTAAAAATAATACACTAGACTACCATTTTACAGTGAACAATCAGCGATTGAGGGTGTGCAAGGTTATTTTTTCAAACACACTTTGTATATCTAATTTAGTAGTAGTAAATATGTTGAAACAAATTGAGCCAGGAGGTTTAATAAAAGCTGATCAAAGAGGTAGACACACGCTAATCAATAAAACTCCTACCGAAACCATAAATAGTATACATCAACATATTAAATCATTCCCGAGAAAAGTGCGAGAATCATTATTCCAGAGAAAGGAGTAAGAAAGATTATCTTGGCACAGAACTTACGATAGAAAAGTTGTATCAACTGTACTTTGATGAATACAATGAAGGACATGTAGATCCATAGCTCGGGAGTAAAAAAGTAATGCGACGCAGATATTTTTAATAAAGATTTCCAAGTTTTCGTTTGAAAACTTGGAAACCCGAAATAGACACTTGCGATACATGCAGTACATTCACAGCTCAATTGTAAAATAATCTTACTGCAGATGAGCTAACCAGTGTACAGGCTAATCATGATACTCACCCAATTGAATTTAAAACTCGGTATAACTTACAACAATTGTACTTTTTAATGGCTAAAGAGTCACCAAAACACAAAGTACTATCTTGTGATTTGTAAAAATGTTTGCTTTGACCACTAACAAACAATTGTATTAGTTTCTACAAAAGGAAGCTTTTGTAGAAGCAGTGATTCTTCTGTACAATGTATGATGTGGGACGAATCGAAAGGGTTCCGAGGTGCAAATGAAATTGCCTCGTAAATTTTGAAATGGACTGACAATACAATTTGAGGTAGTCAAGTAAAGGACATCACTTTTTGGACCAATAACTGCTATGGACAAAATAAAAATATAAGTGTTATAATGTGCTATTTTTTGATATTGCGTACATACCCTCAAATAAAGACGATCACTCAAAAGTTTTTACTGAAAGGACACACACATATGAAAGCAGACAGTGTTTGTGCTTTAATCAAGAGAAATAAAAAGAAACTCTCCAATTTGGCCATTTTAACACCATGGAACTGGCAACAGCTAGTTAGGCAAACATCAGGTAAATACACAGTGCACAATATGGAACTTGCAGATTTTAAAAACTTTAAAACGCTGTTCGATAAGAAATTGTCACTTAATCATCCTTTTGTAAGTAGAAAAAAGAATGTTAATGAAGATCCTGTTTTACTGTCAACATGTGTTGACTCCTACAAGTCCAACAAGAACACATTGGGAAGCTCTTTTATAAGACCGATTTTAATAATCAAAATATGTATGAAGTGACTTCATGAGGTATCGAAGATAGCAAGTAACGTTTCCAGCTCAATTAAATCAAGTCTCAGTAAACCCATTACCAATCAGAAAAAAAAGTTTAATGACTTCATTACCTTACTGCCTTTTTCCGTCAGTTTGTCATGCACTTTATCAAAAATTAACACATAGCGATGTAGCCACAAACGATTACCTACAAGAAGATGAAGATGATATGGAGCCTCTTTAACAATTTTGAAACTTGTCGTCTATAATTTTACTTTATTTAACTTTTCTTAATTTAATTATTATAACATTATAATATTTACCTCTAATAAAATAATAGTATAGGCTGTTTAGTGTATTTGTATTGTTTATTTCGCAGAGACCTTAACATGCAATGTCACATTATTTAAAAAAGTTATTAGAGGTAAACAACACTATGTCCAACTACACATTTAAAAAAAAATTATAAAATGAACGATAAACTTTAGGTACATAACACTTCATGGAAGGAAAAACGATTATACACACCACAATAATAATATATTAATCTTGGTTAAATATAAGAAACATTTGAGTATTTACTGATTAAAAATTTAAAAAATGTTAAAACTGCTCTCCTGAAAAAGTAAGAAAATGGACATAGTGTCCTTTACCTCCGAGGTACGGATATATATATATATATATATATATATATATATATATTTTAATTTTAAACAATGATATTTTCATTATGTAAAACTTTATAATTTTTGAAATAAATTTTTAAAATCAAAATTTTGAAACAAGTTGCGTTTGTTTTTATATTAAATTATTCCGTGATCATAATATGAAATTTATGGGTGGCCACAGTCATATATATATAAAAAATAAATTAAAAATTAAGATTGACATTAAAATATTAAGTATATCAACACATTACAATATTAAAAAATCGGTAATTATTTCAGACTGTCTTTCAGTTCTACAGAACATAAAAAACAGTTTTTTGTCCAAAACATTTTAGTAATCGTTAAATGTTTTTAATAAAGGATCAATTAAAGCACTTAGAAGACTATGGCACAGAATAATAAACAATCAGAATGTCCACTCTCAGATGCCGCCTTTGAAGTTTTCAGCACGCGCGCCATGTTTTACAAGGAAACACCTAACACAGAAATACGATTTGTGAGGTTATGTAATTGTTTATATTTATGTTTAATTATATTATTATTTATGCTATTATACAGGGTGAGTCATAACTATTGGGACATAGACTAAAGACAGGTTATTTGGACCAAAATATGGCTATGTGGCCAAATATGCCTTAATAAAATGTTGATGAGAAAAAAGATACAGGGTGTTAAAGTGGAAATTTAACATTTTATTTTTGGCTATAACTTTCATGTTTGTAAACATTTATGTATAAAAATTTACAGCTGGTACTATTGAATATCAGAAATTATAATTTGATGCATACCTTAATATATCTTATAGAGGGCGCCACATATGCCACATACGTGGCATACATTTACACTTAACTTTTTTGTTCTTCAAGCTACCGGTATTATTGATAAAAAATATTAAAGATACGTTATTTTAACAAAAAAAAGGTATACTTGTTAATAACTTCAAAACTCAACAGTTTTCGAGATAATCGCATTTTACAAATCAACTGCATAATTCTGATTTAACGCAATTACTCCAGGCAATGAAAGAAAAATAGATAAAAACATCAATACTTCTGAATTTTATTGTTAAATACCTTTAATAAAGTCAATATTTAACGAAATATTAAATAAAATAAATATATCAGCAGGATAATTAATAATTGGATTTGATAAAATAACAGAATAACTGGATTTTACATCAAACATTTTACCTTTTGTATTAAATTAAAGTCATAATCAAAACATTTTATTTACAAACCAAATTAAATAATAGTTAAACTAAATAACACTAAACTTTTTGTCAAAGTAAGTGTTCGATATGTCCACCATTCTCTTTAATTCATTTGTCAATACATTTCATAAAATATCGTCTCATATTAAATAGCATCACTGGTTCTAAAGAAACTGCTAAATATAATAAAGTATTTATTATATTTGTTTTAAGTATAATAATAAGTAATTTTTTGAAATTTTTATGAATTAAATAATTATTATTATCTTACCACAAGAATATTACTAGCACGAACAATCCAACGTTTAGGAAAGTGTATTTAAATACTGTCTTACTCCGCTTTCTCTGTAATGTAATGGTGTACTATCTTGTAGAAACCACATATTTCGCCTTAAGTTTGATGACAATTCTTCCAATAAATCAATAAAATCATTTTATAAAAACTGTAAATAAATCTCACCATTTAAATTAAAAGGTAATTCGCATATCTGAAAAATATCATTCAAAATTTATATTTAAAATGCATGTCGTATGGTTTGGAACCATTGATAATTATTTTTTTCGGATATGCGAATTACCTTGCAATTTGAATGTCGAGATTTATTTACATTTTTTATAAAATGATTTTATTGATTTATTGGAAGAATTGTTCAAACTTAAGGCAAAATATGTGGTTTCTACAAGATGGTACACCATTACATTACAGAGAAAGCGGAGTGAGACAGTATTTAAATACACTTTCCTGAACGTTGGATTGTTCGTGGTAGTCATTTTCTTGTAGTGAGATAATAATAATTATTTAGTTCATAAAAATTTCAAAAAATTACTTATTATTATACTTAAAACAACTATAACAAATACTGCAGCAGTTTCTTTAGAACCAATGATGCTATTTAATATGAGACGATATTTTATGGAATGTATTGACAAATGAATTAAAGAAAATAGTGAGCATATCGAACACTTACTTTGACAAAAAGTTTAATGTTATTTAGTTTAACTATTTTTTAATTTGGTTTGTAAATAAAGTGTTTTGATTTTGACTTTAATTTAATACAGAACGTAAAATGTTTTTAATAACAAAATTCAGAAGTATTGATGTTTTTATCTATTTTTCTTTCATTGCCTGGAGTAATTGCGTTAAATCAGAATAATTCAGTTGATTTGTAAATGTGGCGCATATGTGGCGCCCTCTATTAGATATATCAAAGTATGCATCAAATTATAATTTCTGATATTCAATAGTACAAAGCTGTAAATTTTTATACATAAATGTTTACAAACATGAAAGTTATAGCCAAAAATAAAATTTTCAATTTCCACTTTAATACCCTGTATCTTTTTTCTCAGCAACATTTTATTAAGGCATATTTGGCCCAATAGCCATATTTTGGTCCAAATAACCTATCCTTAGTCTATCTCCCAATAGTTATGACTCACCCTGTATTTAACAATGTCAATTAAACCGGGTTAATTTTTCTATGCACACCACATAAACAACACTGATTCCTCGGAGGAACGTCTGCGCGAACGAGATGCGCGTACTTAATTTTTCATGGAGAGTGGGCATTCTGATTGTTTATTATTCTGTGACTCTGGCTTTAATATAAAATTTGTTTGGGATAAGGCACATATTGAACTCAAAGACACTTGACACTTGACGATTGACACTTTATTGTCATATTCTTTATGTGTATCAGATGTTATTACGATTAAAAAACAACAGCTATTGACATGGAAAGATCAATGGAATCGTTACTGCTTTACAAACCATACAAAATACACCACTTTACATCCAGTTATTATGATTATAATAAGATGGAACAATGTGATCGCCAATCTGTCAGATATGTACATTTAGAAGAATAATTGTAATTATTTCTTTAATTTGTCAATATTAGTAATTAAATTTATAAAAGCAATTGAAGTATTTCTATTATCTATTTTACGGTGCACCCCATATAAAGTAACAAACTTACTTATCGAATATACAGTGCATGTCTGAGAGGGAGTTACAACAGTAGCTCCAGTCTTGTGTAAGTAATATTACAGCAAATATTGCCTGCAAAACTGATTTATTTTATAAAACGGATCTGAAATATTTGCAGATATTTCGACTGTACCGCACTCGCCATTGCCAACGCTTTGAGTTGTAGTGGTTAACTGAACCGCTGGAGCTCAAAGGATAAGTAAATAAGAAAGATCTTGTCACGTCAAAAATTATGAAATGGACTAGATTAAAAAGTATTTCTTTATCAGCAATACATCTTACTCTCGCTGTAAATAATAATAGTCATATACACGCTATTTTCAATAAGAGGCACAATATAAACGTATACATTTTTGTAAATTAGAAGAACGCCATGTTATTTTATTTTATTGACATGCACTATATGACAACATAAGAAATATTTTACTCTGTAAATATTAGATAAAAGTTTAATGATTTTTTTATAAGGATAATACAAAAACATATTTTCTTTTGATACATGAATTAGGGAAGCATTAATTTAAAAAATATTTTTTCAGACTCGACTGGAAGGTTGGACTAACTTGTTTATTGATCTACATGGGATTCATAGTGCTGGCGTGTCTGGTGGAACTGAATGTCTTCTTCGTGGTCAATGTTCCCACCTGCGATCAGTGATATTTACTATTTATTGTTATTTTTAATGTTACGTATATTTTATTAATAATATTACTGCTGTTTTTTTAATAAAACTATTAAATTTGTATAGCTTTGTCAATCCTTATGTAACGTGTAATCCATGTTATTTTACTTCTTACTCTAGATTACCTTTTATAGAGAATTGTATCTAATAAGACACATTAATGAATAATAAAATATTTTGAAATATTTTATTATGTATGGTGGAAGATACATTTTAAAACACTTCCTATTTTTTAAAACTCTAGGGGTGAAGTAAAAATATTAAATTTACGATTAAAAATAATTAAAATTATTAATATTAATTTTTAACTTATTAATGATAGGGGTCATTTATTGAGATAAAAAATATTCTATTATTTAAGTTGTATCAAACAATATACTTTCACAAAATAAATTTTATTGTAATCGGTTCAGTGGTTTCGGAGATTCGCGCAAATGAAGATTGTGACACGAAAATTTCATATATGAATTTGTATATTTGTATATATATACATATATATATATATATATATATATATATATATATATATATATATATATATATATATATATATAGATTGAAAACTAGTAGAATAATAAAATGAATCAGATAGAAAATCAACGTCACTGATTTGATTTACAGAATTCTCTTTGTCAACCATTTTCCATCCACTCCTGAATGTAGGTCTCTCCCAATTACTTCCATCTTTCTCTATCTTGCGCCAATCTAATCTTGTTCTTGTTCTTGTTGTCGTCCTTAGTCTCCATTCTAGAATTCTTCGTGTCCACCTGCTGTCATTATATCGGGCTAGGTGACCTGACCAGCGCCATTTCATTTTTGTAATTTCTTCCACAATATCCCTAATCTTCGTTATCGTCTTATCTCGGTGTTTCTAACCTTATCTCTCAGTGATATTCCAAGAATGATTCATTCCATTGCTCTTTGCATTGAATCTAATTTTTTAGCAGATTTTTTGGTAAGAGCTACTGTAGCGTTTACGCTACTGATTAACCCCTTTAGAAATTTTTATTACCCGCCTACGATCGATTTTAAATCAACATTTCCCCACCCACGTGCTGTTATCGCTTTGAAAGGAAGATCGATTTTATGCGGAAGCCGAACGATCAGTTTTGGTCAGAACTCTACGCAGCCACGTCAACCGGTGAAATTTTTCACCTTCAAAGTGACGGAATTGGAGCAAGGAAGATAATTTGGGGAAGAATATAATTCATTAATAATAATATAAATAAGTAATTTGTATAATAAAATCAATAATCTAAGAGTTCCACATAAAAAGGAAGTTTTTTTTGGCGTGCTGCAGCTCCATGTAAGTAAATCATTTCAATACGTATTATCTCTTTATCATACAATCAAATTTATCATTGTGTTTAGTATTTCTTTAGAGATTTATTTTTGAGTTCCGAAATAATTTAAATATAAAATTTTCTTGATTTACTTGCAAAGAACAGAAGGTCATTTTTTTTATATAGTCAAACTTAAATTCCGATCTATTTCATATCTTATCATTAAGTTTTTTTTGGTTCCCTTTTATCTAACTTTTTTGGTGGAATATAAAAAGGTTCTACAAATGTGGGACAGCCTTCTGTATTCTGCGCATGTTTATTTCATGGCGCAAGCTTGCCATGCCTACGAAAGTAACTTCATAAATTTGACATGATGTTGAGTTAACCTAATAACCTAATGTTTTGATGTTTTGTTTTGGTGCAGTCAATCCATGCTGCTACACCTATTGAATTGTATTTATTAAATTAAATAATAATTTTAGATTCCGTCACTTCACTTGAGGATATTCTCTTCAGAATATTCCCTCAAGGACTCAAGTAACTAAATTTCTTGAATAGTTAGCAAACCCCTGGATTTTGCTGTCACCCAGAGACCAGTGACTGGTTGTGGCTTTTGTGACCAGGATTCGTCTTTACAGCCATAAACTGATGTAGCCGTGCCAAGAGGAGTTTTTCCTATGGACTTATAGTGCTGTAAAGATAAGTTGTTTAACTATTTGACTTTTTGTATTACGTATTACTTTCTATTTACTGTTAACTTTTCATATGCATATGATCAAGTAACTACATTTTGATAAAATATAATTTTGATATTATTGGGAGAGGGAAAATATATTACCTGTTTTTATTAGTTTTTTTTTTTTAAATAGGATTTCAAGAGTACTGACCAAACTCACTTTTGCTATAATATTTTTTTTTAATACAATATATTTGATAAAATAGGTACAATTTTGATATTGGGGAAAAGGAAATAAATTTCATGTGGTTTTTAAAACATTGTATAAGGAGTATTGAAGACTCACTTTTTGGATGTAATATATATTTAATATAATTGTAATAGAGATTTATCAAGTTTGATATCTTTACAATATTGTCATTAGTACCTCATTTTAGTAGAACTATTTAAATCTAAATTACTAACCTTAGTGTTAAGACTTAGGCTACCCTACGGACTATTCTTGGTTTATACTAATATTTCATATTTTATTTGGCCAGTGGTAGTGACTATTCGTTTGTTGAGGGGCTATTAGGTCCCATTGTATCTGTACACCATCCACTACCACTGTTATTTGGCTTTGCATTATATGTAAATTGTTTATACACATATACCTATATACATTTTTTATAAATATATTTATTGTTGCTATTTTGAGTTTTATTTCAGTTCTACTAACCAGTATATAACATAGCAAAACAAGATTATTATTTAGTATTTTTGTATTTCAGAGTATTATCTCCAGATTCATTTGTTACTTCAAAATCTCAACTATCGTTGAGTTGGCGCCCTTCTTTTCTCTTCTTATTGTTCTCTTTCTATAAATTTATTCCCAGTGACTTTCTTTAGTTGTATCACGTTTGATATTACCAGGTCTCATTTCTTTCTTGTCTCATTAGCTCATTATCTCTTGTTATTGTTGTTTATATCTTTAAAGCCACAATCCAGTGCATTGAAGCTAGCCCGAACACTCACTTGAGATTTAGTGTCTCTTTGGCCATTTAAATTTGTTCCTCTGAGCTTAGCCCTATTTTTAGTATTTTTTTTTCATCACTTCTCTTTCAGTTCTTCTGAAATTTGGAAGTTCTACACTTCCAAAAACCCAATACTCCCGGAGTATTGAGCGTTTCAATTGGCTAGACCCAACGTGTGGCTTCTTTTCCACTTCTGCCTTAAATATATATATATATATATATATATATATATATATATATATATATATATATATATATATCCTTTAACTTTTGATTTTGATCTTGGGTTGTTGTGGTTTTCACTGGTTGTGCTTTTAGATTTTCATTTTAACGTTTAGTTTTGTTTTTCAATTTTTTTTGGACATTACCTTATATCTATATCTTAAATTGACTTGTTTTTGCTATATACTGTGTAGACTGAATAAATTGCTTTGTTTTTTATTGATTAAATAACAATTAATTAACAGATTAATAATAAATTAATTAAAAATTTAAGTACCTAACTAAAGTTAACTATTTCACATATTTTACAAGTCCGGAGTAGCCAATAAGTTGAGTCACTACCTCGAAATAACAGTTTTGAAATTTTAGGTTCCTTAGGGTGTTGTAGCAGTATATGTCATTGGATTTCATAACTGGACCAAAACAATTAAACATTACTGGTATTGGTATCCCTTCAGAATATTAATTTGGAGTCAGAGAGTAAGTTAAACTTTACCTACTTTTACTCATTCTCTTGTATATTTCTCAGTTGTGTAATATGTCTGCGTTCAAGGTAGAGCATCTATTAGCTTCTGAATTAGAGTATGAGTTGAGAGTCTGTCATCTAACCAGTCCATTGTTAAAAAAATGTTGTATAATGTACAGAATGTACCAGGTAAATTTCCTGATTTTAAAGTTGAACATGGTGTTTTGTATAAACATGTCTTAAGTTCCATAGATTCCCTTACTGGAATGTCGGATTGGAAGATAGTCGTTCCAACTCCTAATAGAGCAGAGGTTTTGGCCACTTTTCATGACCATTCTACTGCAGCTCATTTTGGTTTCTACAAAACTTTCCGTCGAATATCTGAACTTTATTACTGGCCGAAGATGCGTCAAACTGTACGTAGCTATATCGCTAAATGCAAAATCTGTGCTACATGCAAACCGACAAATCTTCCCCAACCAGGTTTAATGGGTAGTTATCGACGGATTGATTTTCCGTTTTAACTTATATCTTTAGATCTCATTGGTCCCTTATCACTTCTGTACCAGTTTGGTTTTTAAGACCTGATTATCTATTTTGTTTACCTGGCAGAAAACCATAAGTTGTGCTATTTTGCCTTCTATTTTTTTTTATCTTATCTTAATGTTGGTTATTATCTTAGTTTATGGACTTGTTAATTTTGTTGTTTGTTTTCTCTTAAAAGTCCAACTGCATATCATAGGAGTACAGGATGGATATATGGGAATTTCCCCATCTTGAGTTCTGAGTTGAATAGATATTTACAGGGATAATTAGGAAAACATTCCAAATATTTTCTTTATTAGTGTTGTATAGTTTTGTGGATCATGACCATAAAGCTTATGCATTCATATTTACTTACTGTGTCGGTGTTTTAGCGTGGGTTCAGGATTGATCACCCTGGATGTGTGCCCTTACTTGGCTCAGAAATATATCAATACATATTAATTGTTCCTTGAGTGTCTCTTAGGTTGAAATTAGAATGTGTCACTTAGAATTGGATCATTCTGATATTCAGCAGTAAGTCTGTTTAACTTAGTTTGTTATCTCCTATGTTATTACCTTCTCAACGTATTTGAGTTTTAACATATCTTATTGTATACTGTTTGTTTACCTGTCTCTCTACTAGTGATATGGATTGGTAGATGTGAGTTATCTTTATCTGTATCTTAATTGAGTTTATCTTTACCTTTATGGAGTTTATCTCATACCTGTAATGGAGTTTATCTTGTACCTTGACTGAGTTTATCTCGTACCTTTACCTTGAGTGTATCTTTATCTTTACCTTAATTGAGTTTATCTCGTACCTTTACCTTAATTGGTTTATCTCATACCTTTACCTTAAGTTAGTTATCTTTACCT